CCTGCTGTCTTACCAGCAAATATAAATGAAGTATATTTGTTGATTTGTTCTTGGGCAGGAGGAAGGAAACATCAGTGTTATGAGGAAGGCTTGCTGTGATTAGCCCCAGGTTTAAGTACTTTGGATAGCTGGTCTTGTGCAGGGTGGAAGTGCAGTTTTGGCAGACTGGTTAGATGCAGGCGAGAAGCTGGCGTACGTTAAGGCTTGCAGGAATATCTGATCACTTCTTATTGCACATAACAACATATTTAATCCTTACAGACACTTTTTTGAGAAGCTGTTGCCTGACAACAAAACCTGCAGTTAGTCTTACTAGACAGCAGGAACTCAAATCTCTTATGACATAGGATGGTTAGAAGACTTTGTTAGACTTTTCTACCAGATATTTTATTCATATTCATGATGACTTAATTTAAATTTGAGTCTTGTCTACAGTGCTAAACCTACTGTCAGAGCTCTGGAAAAATGGATAAAAGGGACGATCTGAAGAACTGCTGTGCTAACAATTTAGCTAGATGTGGAACCCGGTACACTGCAGGTTTCTAACCCCATTATTAATCTATTTGGCACCACTTGGACTTTGGATAAAACCCTGAAGGTGGGATACATCGAGATGACTAAGCCAGTTGGGGATGACTTCTTGCAGTGCTGTCTGTTTCTTTGGTGATCCTAAAGTGATCTGTAATGTCAAAGTTAAAATTTTTTAACCTCTGTACAATCCTGTTTAATCCTGCACAATGAGGCAAGTAAACTGCCAACAGCACTACAAATATGAGTGAGACTCAGACTGTGACACGTGGTTTTTTTTAACTGGAAAAATAATTTTCATGAGGGGGATGGAAATTCAACTTTTACTGTCACAACACTAATTCTGCTTATGAAGGTGCCTTCTCATTTAAGGTTTTTGTTTGCTTTGATTTTAAGGATTGATATGTATGTTGGAGGAACTGATGACCTTATGGGCTTCATTTTGATGTTCCCATTCTTATCGTCTGAGGATAAAGAGAAACAACGTGCTGTTATAGTTCAAAAGGCGACAAGCAGGTATTTCCCGGTGTATGAAAAGGTATGTGGTGGGATCATTTCCTTCTGTTGTTCTGGAAGGATAACAATGGGAACACTGGGTGTTTTACCAAAAGCAGAAGAAACAGAAAGGTGTCAGTGCAGTACTTTAAACCAGGACATCATACTGTCTGCAGGCTGGAGAGATGAGAGGGAAGTCAGAGCAGTAGGAGACAAGGTGGTGTGGGTTTAAATGCAGAAATTCCTAAGTGAGATTTCATGATCTGAGCAGCATCAACATTCAGACTGAAGGGTCCAGATATCCCCTTTGGCTTGAAACTGTTACAATCCAATGAATATATAAACATAGCTATAGACAGTTAAAATAGCAACTTCCTGTTTTTAGGAGAAATGAAACTGTGTGACTGTATTGGGTTTGTGTGGCAAGGTTT